TCTGTTCTTTCTCGTTTTCAGGTAAGTGACAACAAGAAATGTTGCGAAAGTGCCATGTGTGCATACCAACTAATAAAACATATGTATATAAGTAATATAAAGCGGTGAGTGTGCAAGAAATTAATGAAGCGTTAAAGAGCGTCAATATATTTTTCATGCATCTAAGTGTTTCAAACGCCAATGATACTACATTACATTGTAGCTGCATGCACTTCATTTTATTGCCATACCCCACATTCGATAACCCGTTACCCGTAGCATTTTAAAATTTGCTTTTGCAACCGCAAGTAACTCGTCGGCTATGTGTTGGACAAACCACACTCATACTCAACTGATTTTTCTACTTAATATGCTTGCTTGCGTGCCTTAACAGCAAGGATACTAAATCCTTACTTTACCCATGCCTTATAAGCTGGCCTATGCGCTCGTTTTTCTCATATTTGTTATTTGCCTAACTGAGTCGCTTCAAGTTGAATCGATTGCTACTCGCTCCACCTAGCTGCCCTTTATGCTATTTACAGGCGTATATATAAATTTGTGTGGTTGTCGGCTTGTGCGTGTGCGCCATGTTGTATGAGTAACATGCTGGTTCGTTTTGCAGCGTAGTCGGCGCCGCTAGGCTGGCACACTGACGCCAACCGCAAACCCTTCAAATAAGCTCGTCACACACATATTTGTACCAATACAACTACATTTACAGAAACACACACAGTGAGTTCTTCATTCATCGGCATAATTTTGTGTATTTTTCGATCTCTTTTTTTTTTATTTATTTTTGGTTTTTGCTTTCGGCTCATATGGAAATCAAAATCGGACTCCTTCGTACCTTTGTTGATGTTTAAATAGCTGCTTTACGCTCGTTTTGCCTGCCCCGCATTTCGCTGCCCGACTGTCAGCTTGTCAGTTAGTTGGTTTTGTCGGTCTGCTGCGTCAGTAGTGAGTCGGTAATCGTTGTGTTGTCGCTCACAATCGTATATCCTTAGTGTCTGCATTGGTACTATCCTGTCTAAATGCTTTTAAGCTGCTTTGTTTTCTCAACCGCTGTGAATCGTTGCCTTTTGACTCAACAAAAAACGACTACCCGCCTCATTTACCTATGGATTTTTTTTTCCGTTTTCACTTCCTCTGTTTCATTTTTATGCCCTGAACGGGATATATGAAGTGTGCGACGAAGTTTGCAACAGCTAAAAGGAAACGTTGTAGATTCCATAAAGTATTTATATGAGTGATCAGCGCGATAGGCTGAGTCGGTTTTGAAATGTCCGCGATTATTTATCGGTACCACCGATATCAGACCATAATAGCATATAGCTACCATATAAACATATAAACTGAACGATCAAATCCAAGTCCTGGTATGGTAAACTTTTTTATTTGACAAGATATCTTCACGATAATTGGCACAAATTTTTATCCTAGGTAACGGTACAATATCCGAAACAATTATGCAGATCGGACCATTAAAACTCATAATTACCATACAAATTGATGGTTGGAAATCAAGTCTCTGTATGGTGAACTTTTTTAGTTAACCAGATATCTTCAGGAGATTTGGCATAGATTAGTGTTCGATGCATCACTACAATCCCTGAAGGAATTGTTCAGATCCGACAAGCATATACCTGCCATGTAAGCTGACCGATCAAACTAAACTTCTTGTATGGACATATTTTTTTTTGTTATTTATGAAGGGTGTTATAGTTTTGATGCAACCATTTCTTTTTTGTTTTTTTCTTTGATTGTTCGTTTGCTTCCACGAATGTGTATGTGTGGCCAATTCACCAGTCTACATATGTATGATTCATCCAAATCAGTCAGTCACAACCAGTCACCGGCTTTGCCCTGGCGTGTGCCTTTGCCACTGTCTACCGCTCGTAACGGCACTATATCACAGCTTTTAGTTTGTTGCTGGTGCCCCGATACACATACATACACATACTTGTATGCGTGCGTTTGTGTGTGCATGTGTTTGTTGTGTGCGGTTATATTGTTGGCGCCACTCTCGTAATTTTTTTCTGCTCCTTTCTTCGCAGGTATTAATAGCCGGTGTTTGTTGTTGGCGTTTTCAGTGTCGTAAATTATCTACAAAAACGTTTTATACTGTTTGTGCTCTTTTTTCTCCACTGTTTACGTACATTACCAGCTCTACTGGGTAGCTAATTGAGAATCGATACGATGAGCAATCAATGAAAGCTTAAAGCTGTAGGAGGCGTGTTGATTCCTGAGCGAATTCCATTTAGGAATAAAAAACGATTTTTGTGTTGTTTTTGCTATTTAGTACTCTACATTTGCTTTTTTGTTGTAGGTTAAAGAATTTGGAGTTCTGATAAGATGGGTTTTAATAAGCCGATGAACCGATTATATAGTCGCTAAGTTCTTCTAATACTATAAGAGAGATCGGAATTCATGCACTGAGATTGAACATGTTATCGGTAGCGAGTTGTATAAGCTCCTTGGGATGAGTTTGAATCATGTCAGCACTCCCTTCTCGAATGTTCCATCTTTGCCAGATGAAGGCCAAAACTTCTCATATCTCATCATTTTTGAATTTTTTTATGGAAAAGCGGAAATGCGAATAAGTTAACTAGTTAGATATGTATGTGATGGATTTAAGGCGCTTAATAGACGGTGTCCAACTGATGGACTTTTTTTCCGGCTTCACAAAGAACTTTAGATTGCAGTCTAAATGTTATCCCCTACCGTATTGAGCTAAGTTTACACAGCTCATATCTACAAAAAAAAAAAAAAAAAATAGTTGCGCGTTTACTGAACTTTAGTAAAAACTCTGTTCCAACGAGCGATAGAGAAGGATATTTTCCATAAGCTTTCGAGTATATTATGTGAAGTCTTACAAACTTATAATTGGCTGTACTGTAAACTCTTTTAAGATACTTTACTTCTATATGCCCTCATCATAAAATCCGTTCGAAGTTCGAATTATTGAAAGCTTTTTAATACATAGCGAAAATATAGTCCATCAACTTACAATTACAAACTTCTTGTGCTTTTAACTAAATTTTTTTTTTCCATTATTAATACTTGACTTTCTGAGCTTTCCATAAGCTATAAGTGATATTCCTTTAGCAAGACCTTCTGTACTCGATAGCTAATTTCTTCAAGTATATATACTTATTTAAGTTGCTTTTCAATTCATTCGCTTTCAGCGCTTTTATTTGCATTTTCAATAATTTTCCTTCTTTGTTTTATCATATCAATTTATTCATGTCCTTACCATGGGGCGACAATGCAGAACGATTAGTATGACTTTGACAGACATAAAACGGGTGCAAAGCGCTTAGATCGTTTGCAGTAAAAAGCTGTGCCTCTGTCAAATATCAACTTACCCATATACGAGTATTGTATTTGTAGCAACTCCTTACATCGGTCCTAACCGCAGCCTGCCTTTGACGAACGTAGCTATGACTAATCCAATTTTAGTTGTTGTTTGGCTGTAATGTTCACTATTTTGTGTTACGACTAAGCGATGATTAAAGAGCAGCAGTAAAATAGTCTGTTTTAGCTGAAATGGGAAAAGAGAGACTTTGTTAGTGGTAGTGAGAGACTGAGCGCTGTGGTTGCGTGTGAGTGTGTGCGTTAGTGGGTGGTATGAATTCGAAAGCAATCAATTTCGAAAAGCTTTCGAATGAAGGTTTGGGTAAAGAAATTGTGATATTGGAGTAGATTAAATAGTTGCCAGTGGTAAAAATGTTCAGTATTCTTTAGAATGTAGATTTTAAATTTTTATTATAATTAAACTTCCGAAAAAGGAAATAAAAATAAACTGAATCCTAAAAAATGTAAAAAGTAAAAAAAATAAT